GGAAGTGGTTTTCCTGAACTGTTGTTGCTGTATACATTTTTGTTCGGTAGATTTTGATTTTTTTTCATGTACTGATAGAACGATTTATTTGGTTCTTTATATTTTTGAGGTTTGTTTTGATTGTCCTATTGTTTTTGTCTACATTCAGAAATACTATGTCCGTATCGTCGGCAATAATTACACCATTTTTTGAAAGATGGTTTGCCTTTAAAGTTTGGGTGTTTTTCCATAAATATTGAGTATTTCAGTGATTTTTTCAACGAGGTCTGTATCTGATTCCTGTATATTGTTGATATTTGTGGTATTTGTTTCAATTCGGTTAACGTATTGTAATTTCAGATTTTCTGTTTCTTCAAGTTTCATTGTGATTTCCGCTTGCTCTAGTTTGTCTACTAGTTTTCGAAAATCTAAATTGGGCTCTCGAATTGAGGAGGGATGGGATGCTCTCTTTTTTATTGCTATTTTCCTTAATTGAGGTGTTAAGGTCATCATTAAGATTTCTGTCATTTTTGTGTTTTTATAGTCGTGTGTATTTAATGAATATGCTTTTCGAACTAGTGTTTCGATACGTACTGCTAATTGTTTGATGGTTTCATTTGGTAATCTGCGAATTTCATTACATAAAATTCTTTGTTGTTGTTTGTTTCTTTCGGAGTCAAACATTTTTGAAAATTCTTGTGTAAATCTTTTCCAATTTGATTTTATTTCTATAGGCAATACTGAAAACCATTTTTGGGCTGCGCCGTCTAAGGTTGTCTGTATCAACGCTCTGCGTCGATGTATCCAGTTTTGATGTAGTGGCGTATTAATTGGTTCAGGTCCTATATTTAAAATTAAATTTGCTGTTACTGCATTTAAATAATCTTCTACAGAATATTCAGGGTCTGTTCCTGTGAATACCATTAATGGTTTGTTTGATGTTATTGATGATCCACCCATAAGGTATGGATTCATTGTCATTTGTAATGATTCTGCTGCATTTGGCATTTGTGAAAAATTTGAAAGTTGATTTTTTGTTATTTCGTGTTGTTGAAGGTAATATGGAAGTAGTATTTCATTTTGCATTTGTGTTGGTTGATACGAGTGTGTAATCATTGGGTTTTGTGGCTGAATTGGTTGAAAAGATTGTGTATTAATTGGGTTTTGCATTTGTATTGGTTGTTGATTTTGTGTATCTATTTGATGTGGAGAAAAAATTCTATGATATGTATATGGTTTTTGCTCTCCTTGTCCGCGATATTCTTGGGTATATGGTGCAAATATATCTGGTTGTAAATAATCATCATCAGAGGATAGGTAATCCGTTTGATGAGGTGCTTATTTTTTATTTTTATTCTGTTGAAAGAATGTGTAGTTTTCACTACGATCCTGTGGAGGATGTGAATTAGTTTGAAAGTTTACTGAGTTGGTTGTTGCCATTGGATTATCCCAATATCGAGATCTTATCTGATTATTATTATTTTTTCGTGGGGGATAGTTTGTTTTTGATGAATGTGTGTAATTATAATTGTGTTCCGCAAAATTGTTTCTTGTGAACGTTCTGCGTGTTTTTGACGGTATTGTCATGGGTCTATATGTTTGATAATCCATTTGTGAATATTTTGGAGCAACCGAAGGTTTAACGGTTGATTGTAAGGTTACCTGTGCTAGTGAAGTGTTTGTATTTCTTGGTGTTGTTAAATTTGGACGTATCGGTGAAATACTTTGTTGTGTAGTTGTTGTTGTTTGGACAATTTCTTCATTTATGAAGTGTGATGGTGTCTGAATATCTTGATGAGTGAGATTCCTAGTTCCATTAAGGTTTTCATTGTGTATGACGGTCGAATTTAAACTGTTATTTCGCGTATCAGGTAAAAATGTTTTGTAGTTTAATGGTGTTGCATCAATGGTTAATGGTACTACTCTTACATAATCTCTTGTATAAGATATTGTACTTATTGCTTGACTTGAGATTGATTGTGGGATATTTATGAAAACATAATGAGACCATTCGGGGTCCCAAACGTAGTCTGATTGTTCTGTGATGGCGGTATCATCGTTTGAATTTTGAGGTCTAAATTTTTTTCTTGCTTGTGAAATGAAATCTATATTATGTGTGAAATAATCTATTATAAACCATGCCAAAATTTTTTGTAAGTCATGTTTTGTATGTTGTGAAACTTCATCTTTAGTGAAATTTTCTTTAATTATATGTAGGAAAGTTGAAAATAGTGTGATTTCATGTCGTACCCTTATATGTTTAGATGTCTCTGTCGGTGAGACATTTGGGATTGGGATTTCGTTTTGAGATATAGATATTGAGATATAACTATAAATTATTACAAAAACTTCATTAGTAAATATGGAGTTTGCTCTTTGTGAGTTATTATATTGTATGCTTTTTATATATTCTGAGAATACTTTTGAAAATTCTAAATCAAGGTCGTCTGTTTGAATTACATATTTGCAGTGATTCGGGTTTGGTGAGCTGAATTCTATGGTGTAGATTCCGTATTGTTGTGTCAAATTACATATATCTTTCAGATAGTGATCAATAATTTGTCTTTTGATTTTTACATCTGGGAACTCTGCTTTACATGGGCTGATTCCGGGTTCAAATATAATTAGGAGTAAATTCTTGCAAAAATTATGCTGTCCTCTATTATCGGGTGCATCTACGAGGAAGGGGTAGATATCGTCATCATCTGGACTATCTTCACTTGGAGTGTGTGTTTGGCTCATTTTTTTGTTTAATGACTGTTAATAGGTAATTATCGATGTGTTTAATTGGTTGATTCCAATTATATAAATGTACTGGTTTGTGTTTATATTGCTTTTTTATTCTTCTTTTTCCTCTTTTTGATGAATTTGAAGTTGTTTCTGAGTCGGAAAAATATAATTGATCGTGAATGGGGCAATTTTTTATCTATAGATTCTTTTAATTTATAAAGTTCTTCTAAATTGCTGGCTTCTGATTCTGAAAATGCGTTTCTATTTTTGGAAAATCTTTTTCGTGTTATTTGTCTTTGTTTGGTTATTATTTTCCTTTTTAGTGTTTGTCGTTTTGTTCTAATATATCCAACTGTTTGTGTATGAGGTGTGATTACAAGGTCGTATTTTTTGTTATCTATTTCACAGTTGTGTAAAACGATTGTTTGTTTGTTTCCTAGATTTTTAATTGACATAAGGTTTAGGATGACGGATGCAAAAGTTGTTAGATGATTTCTATTTTCTTAAACTGTTAGTTCTTACGATTTTTTTTTGGTTAGCTTAACCTGGGTCTATTTTTTCAGGGTTGGAGAGAAAAGTATATCGATTCCGAAGAATGATTTTTTACTTTCTCGTGGCTAGTATAAGCTAAGGTGTTAACTTACTTAATCTTACTTAGGGGTAGTGATTGTGTTCAAGGGTTGGAGAATAGTAAATCGATCCACAAGTTTCAGGTATAATTAGAACGCCAGTGGTTCGTTAGATACTATTTTAAACTTACTAAGTCTAAGATTTATCCTGGGTCTTGATAAGAGGAGGGTTCAAGTAAGTGAAGGATGAATAACCGAAGTTCTTCACTGTTTATCCTAATTTGAATGATTGGTTTTGTTTAAAAATTTCTATTAGTCTTGGGTTTTTTGAAAGGGTTGGATAGTGAATCGACGTTTGAGGTCGTTAGACACTAGCTAAGTGGGTGGGGGAGAACAAAATTGTTCTTTTTGATCCAAGGATAGGCCTTGATGATCAAGTTTTAAATTTAATTAAATAGAAAATGAATTAAGATCCAAGGATAAGCCTTGATGATCTGATTTTAAAATTAAGTGAATTTAAGTTTAAAATGGTTTAAATTTGTTTAAGAAAAAGATTTAGTTTTTTAATGATATTAGTGAGCTTATGAATGCTGTTATGTTTAGGTGATGAAGCTGGGACAACTGATGATTTTATGATTACTAACAGTTTATTGTCATGCTACTAATTTTTGTTTTGATTTTCAATAAATATTTTCCAAACATGTTTTATATAATACTGCAGAATTTTAGGAAAACGATCTGAGATCTTTTTATCAATCGTTATTGTATATTAATAGTTTTGTTTAGCGCCTGAGATGATTATGAAGATTGACTTCAAGATTTTATGTTTGCAAATGAAAATCTAAATTCATTGCTAATAAAATTCTAAATATAAAAGTCTGTGTTGGCTTTGCCGTACTATCATATAACTATTTGGTAAGTTTCTACTTTGTCGTATGTCGTTTCTGGTTCGAGGTCTTCTTGCAATTCCGGGTAGTTCTGTTATCGTTCGGAATATTGGCTCTGATCTATTGAGTCGTAGAGACATTTCGATTAAATTATCGTCGTATAACATTTTAAAAATGTTTTGTCTAAATTCTAATATATTTTTGGTTAATTCTAAGCTATTAAGGTCTTGTTCGAGACTTATGGTCGCACCAGATAAGTTAGGACCGATGTGGTTAATTCATAGAGTAATTTCGGATAGGGTACACCGTCTGCTCGTCACGCTATCTTATTTTCGGCCGGATAGATTCGTGCAACTTCTTAGTCTAATACCGATCCTAATCTTACTCTTATACTATCTAGTCTCAGGTTGTTTAACTAGTCTCTGCTAGGCTCAATAGATCTAGGGTATACTGGTTTATTGCGGCTGCTTAAGTTCCTTTGGAGAGGCAACTAATTTCTAAGTTAAATTCAAATCTCTCTGGTGCTGAAATTACAAGTAATTTCAGCACTTACAAATAAGTGGGTTGTTAGTTAGATGGATCATGATTGGTTAATATTAAATACTTTACAGTGGTAAAATATCTAATTTATCCAATCATAAAATGTAGTTTAGATCAGGTTCCAGTGTTGAAATTAGCGCTTCATTAATACTGCTATAGGCACTCTTAGAAATCTTCGGATTATTTGATTGATTTATTGGTATAATCCTAAAGAGCGTCGGCTCACTGTTGTGTGAAACCACACAATACTGAACGAAACCACAAATTGAATGCAATCGGATAAATATTTTTTCAGCATTATTTCTTACTGTGAGCAAAACAACTTCTCCTGGTGTTTACATTCTGGAAACACAGGTAGTGCAAACACTACCAGACTTCTTCGGCTACCGATACACATTCCAAAATGTCGCAACTCTCGGAGACCCGAACTCCACCCGAGTGTTCGAAAGAGTCGGAACAGGAATCTATTCGACTTTAAGCTCAATAAAAAGTTGGAGTATAATTGAAAAATCTCTCCCTGAATTAAGAAACAGAAAATTTTTGTAGAAAAGTTAAGAGGCAAACTGCTGAACTATAACGGCGACTTAAAAAGAAAAAGAAAAAATTTATCACGTGAACAGTTTTCTCCATATTTAGTTTACGGGGGGTTTGTTTAGCTTACGATCGTTAACTCAGAAACTTGAGCAGCTGAAACCAGCAACACAGAAATAGAACTATCTTCCCTGTCCAATCACAAATTCCGGTGACTTACAAAAACTTTTAAAAAAAACTTTTCTTTTTCAGACTACAATGATGAAAATTTAGTGAAACTTCCAAAAACCTAATAACCAAGTCCAATTTCTATGCCGCAGCCTTGAATCGGTTACAAAAATAATTTTAATCGTAAAACTCGATAATCATAGTTCGAAGATGAAACATAATTAAAGATTATTTATAGAAAAATAAAATTGTTAACCTTCGCAAAGTTGAATGGGTTCCATAATATAGAACCTCTGCTGGCGACGGTAGCCGAGAGCTGCACCCAATTCCAAGTGACGTCAGAAGCAGTGAACGAAACTGGTCACGTGATTTCTCCGCCGAGCAATGAGGAGTTCATTGACACAGGTGGCTAGTTCTTAAACAATTTCTTTGCTTTTCAACTCGTACTCGGGCGAAATTTACCGAACTGGTTTGATGGAATAAATTTCATTAATTTTCAAGTCTCAGGCCGACAAACTGCTACTGGCTTTTTGTTCAAGAGCTAAGATCTTGTTAATTACTTGCCGTCCTTTTGCAAAAGGGGGGGGGGGGGGGACTCGTGACAAAGGTACAAAAAGTTGTATCTGCTTAACTGTTCAACATTTCTTAATAGGGGAATTCGTTTTAATGTACCAAATAGGGGGGGGTAGTTAACACAACTTAAGAGACTTCAATTTTGAACCTTTTTATTTCCAGGCCCTCTAGTGACTTTTTCTTATGAGGATTTCCAGCAGACCTCGTCTTCAATCGTGTTCAAAATCCTCAAAGACGATCAGAGGTTTCACAAAGCGAATGTTGTAGCTGAACACATTAATGAAGGTGCGAAACAAAAATATTCTCAATATTCATTCATTTAAAATTTTCTTCCTACTTTTGAAAAGTAGTTTTTTTTTTACAGAAGTCTCGATTTTTATCTAGCCACATTTGAACAGAATTTTTATGCCATCTAAAAGCTAGTGATGCCTTGAGCTCAAATTCTTATACCATCTGAAAGCTAGTTAAATCTCTAGCTCAACTCTAGAAATCTATATAAATTCTCCCTCAAAACATTTTTTTTTCTTTCGTGTTTTATTTGAAAAGATATTTGGTGATGCGACCAAAGTTTGGAAATTGATGGCTTTTTAAAGATCCCCGCATCCAGTTTTGTTAGTCAAAAATCGATTATATTATGATTTCAGTAGCGGTCCTAGTGAATTTTTACAAAATTCTATTATAATCAATTGATAATCGATTACAATCTCTTGCTTTCAATGCTAAAAAATGCTCAATTTAGGTAACTTATAAACAATTCTAATCAAATGAAAGCAATTAGTTTTGATGATAGGTTTTCATGCGATTACAGTTCAGTATAAATGATTATCACAACCTTTTGAAAAACAAGTTTTCGAAAATCAAAAACTTTTAAAAATTCAAAACAAAAAAAACCAAAAAATTAGTTGAGCGTCTCATTAAACTAACAGAAAAAGCATAAGTCAAACCAACTAAATACGGTCCCTCCAGGGATAAAATATTCGAATATAAAGGTAGTTGTGTCTATATAAAAAGCGAAAAACGTAGAAATTAAGATTTTGATGTTTAGGATATTTCATCGGTTCGCATTAAAGCTTATCACCCATTATTTTCATCAGCAGTTGGCCCTATTAGCGTTTAATTCTTTTATTTTGGGAACAAGGATGCAATCTACGCTAGGAGTTATTGACTTAAATGGTTTCTACATTATTAAGCGTCTTGCCGTTGCTAATCAGTATGAAAACACAAATATGGGCAATTTAGTTTGATTAGGACTTCCGAAAACTGCCGGGTTAAAAATTTTAACCAAATATGTTAAAGATTCAGTGTCTTCCCACCCAATAAAAATGCAGAACACGTCGCTAGTTTGGCAAAAACAGCCGTTTAAAAGAATGGGGGAAAACAGATAATGTTTTCGGGAGGGCACCTAAAATCGTGGAAACTGCGAAGGAAAGTTTTGAGAACACGAAAAAGATCTAAGGAAGATCAAAAAGATTGTTGGAAGAAGTATGTTAGTGACAACAATTTGACGATCGACAACGAGCCAGCACAAAAACGATTCGAAGATACAAAATCAACAGAGCGTGCTGGTAACCAAAGCTAAGAAAACTTTTGACAGAAAAGTTCAACTTACCTTGACACTTCGTTTGTTTGGCACCTTGAAAAAGTCGTTTGTTTTGAGTACTTTTCGTTTGTTTTGCAGTGATTTGATATGAAGAGATAACTGAGGCGGATAAAATGGGCTCTTTAAAGGGAGGCGGTTCATTTTTTCTCAACATACGTTCTCTTAGAAGCCATCGTGACCAGTAGGTTTGTTCAATAAGTAGATTTTAAGTGAAACCCCCGGTTGTTGCTCTCTGTGACACATGGTTGAGTTAAAGGATGCACTGGAAATCTATAAAGTCTATAGATATCGTCCAGTTGATGTAAGAAACAAGATAAAAGAAAAAGGCGCCTTTAACCTAAAAAAAATCCTAATTTCGAAATGAAAAAGTTATAGTCGGCAATTGAATATGTATTTTTTATCCAAATTTTGGTCAAAAAATGCTTGTGGAGAAATCATGTCGGGGTTGGAAGTTTTAGTGCGTGTAAGCTTTTAGGTATAAACATTGACTCGATTTAATTTTTATTGACCACATTTCAACAATGACCAAAAAATTGGGCATCTTCTAATAAATAGTTTATAAGGCTCGGTTCTGTTTTCTAAAAACACAATTGCCTCAATTTTATATATCATATGGTAAATGAGTATTTTACTAAGGGATATTAGTGTTTAGTAACACGTATACAACTCATCTGGAAGAAATAAACAAATTTTAGGAACGGATTTTGTGAACCATTTATCTTAAGAAAAAATTGGAATCGGTCAAGGAGATAAAAAGCAGAAAAAAACTCTAAGTGTTTATGAAAATCATCTGTATGAACTGTTTTAGGAGCTTTTTCAAAGTATAAAAAACAAAAAAAGGGATGAGCTCTTGAAAAATAGTAACAAAATGTCGTGTCACTCGTAATTCCAGCAAGGGTTTGCTACCAATTATGCCTTTTCACAGCACAATCATGAAAAACGTTCTAAAAAGACACCTAAATTGAACATATAATATAATAATAAAAGAGTCTCATCTAATTCCCAAAGATATTGAAAGCTTGAAAGCAAGCGAATTTAAAAAGTTTCACAAAGTTTTTGCAAAAATGACATTAAAGATAACATGTTTTTTGGAAACCTTTTTTTAAAAAGAAGCCCACTTTTCTATTTGTTCTCTTGCTTTTTTAACAGCCCTTCCAGAGACTGTATTGCGTTAGTTTCTTTGATATTGTAACAGTTCTGGATAAATGAATTCAAGTTCATCATAATAATTGATTACTTACGCTTAAACTTGGATACGGGTTGCCGTTTTGGTTAAGTTGGAACAATTAAAGTCCAAGAGATTTTAACGGTGCTATACTTTAACCCGTGCTATTAACGGGTCAGTGACTTGTCGACCCAGAAGCTGTTGCAAACCAGATTTATTACCCTACTAGAGGCTTAGGACATCTCTCGGTAATCTTCATCACCTGAGGCAAAGTTTCAAAAAATCGGAAAAAGAAACCAATTTTTTTTCGTTTTGTTTCAAAAACTTTACCAGTTTCTGTTTTTTAATAGATGTTTTCCAAAATTTATTCTGTCGTAGCTCTTGGCTCTTAAAAGTCATAAAAACTCGTTTAATCATAAGAAAAACATTCAACTGAAATCCGCACTCAGTAAAAAGAGAAAATTATTTTTTTTATTACAATTATAATTGTACTTTTAACTAAAATTTAATTAAATATAAAAGCCAAATTTGGATATTCAAGCGATTTGTAATCCATTATCATGATAAATTTTTTTGTGACAAAAAAAAATCTTAATCAGTTATAATTGATTATAAATTTTTTTTTTCGAAAAACTCTTTTAATTTCTTATAATCTCTTGTTATTTTATATAACCTATTGTAAAAGATTATAATTCCTTTTTCGGTCAAGAATTTTAATAATTGAGATATCTTTTCACACTTTGGTTCATCTGAAAAAAAATTTTTTACCGCGAAACAAAAAGTTTCATAGAGATCCCTTCATGTTAGTTGAAAGGTTCCCGCGGTAGGTTCACTTTTCCAAACAAATCATGAACTAAAGTAATCTGCTGATACTTTGTTGATTGAAAAATTTAATTTGTGGATCAAAAAACAACTGCAGTCTTGAAAGATTGAAAATGTAAAAACGCTATAAATTTTAATTGATTTGAAAACTGTTAAAACAGCTTTCACCTTTTTCACATAAACCAACGTCTACAAAACGCATAGAATATTAGCACTTCAGATCTATGGTCGAAGACACATTGGGCTAACAAAAGAATATATAATCAACTATTATCGATTATAATGAACTTTTTCTGCAAAACAAAAAATTTGAATGAAAATAATCGAATATAATAGATTATAATTGTCTCGAAAATAAATGGATAACTAATCGATTGAAAAGCATTTTATTTCATAAGAGTTTTATTTTAAAAAAGGAAATTATAAACAATTATAAATTGAATAAAATCATTTTTTTGTCATTTTCATTAAGACAAATTTAGATGAAAACACCCGTAGTATGACAAACTCCAACAAAAAACAGCTCGCAACAATAGAAAACTCGCCTTAAAATACAACTTTCAATGTATTTTTATTGCCATTGCTTAAAGCGATGCGAGCTTACCAACAGATGCTGATTCTTTATACGAGTCTTAGAGCCCTTTAAGTGGCGACGATTGAGTAGCGCGCCCACCAGCAGCCTTGAAACGAAGTTTTTAAATTTCAAATATGTTTTATTGCAAGCTATCAAAGTATTTGAAAAGCAATGGGAAAATTAAAGGCTAATCAAGGTTGTCTGATAACAAAAAATTCAAGTAATTTACCACAAAAAAAACCAGAAGCTCATGTTGACTTTCTGTTGATGCCGTTGAAACAATTGGAGTACACTTTTTTCAAGTTTTTTTTTGAAGTTTTCAAGGCAGAATTCACCAATAGTAGCAGGAAGAAATTGCGTTGCCAGCGTTTCTTAAATCGAAACAAAACTTGATGATCAAAATATGCGTTCTAGACAAAAAAAATAATCCATAATAAGTTGAAATTCTGTATTTTTCGTATGTTTTTTAAGAACGAATTTAACAAGCGCGCTTTAAGACCCCCAATTTAATTCTTAGTCGCTATAATTACACATAAATTAAAAAACCTTTTGGCGTGCTGAAAATTTTGGCAAACATTTTGTTGTTCATGGAGTGTTAGGAGACAAAAAAAATTTAGCCAGACGTGTAAAACTCGTCAAAAAAAATTAAACTAAATTTAAAAAAACCAATTAATCAAATATTTAGGTGGATACAAGATTCAGTTACGGATGAAACTTTTAGGTTTTAAGATTTGGTTAAAGATTAAAGTTTTGCATTTCCAGCTGGAGACACTCTGGGTCGCTTATTCCAGACAGAGATCCCATTCTCTGAATTCAACCAGTCGTCGTCGTCGTCGTCGTCGTCGTCGTCTTCTTCTTCTTCTTCTTCTTCTTCTTCTTCTTCTTCTTCTTCGTCTTCGTCTGATTCATTTATTCTGATTGAGATCGAGCGTAACATTGAGGCCGGTGAAGTGTATAGAGTGAGTGTGGCTTCCTTCTGTCAAGATATCTCTTTCTACACCGACCAGATACTCATCCAGTTCACTGGTTAGCTTACACCGAGTTTACCCTATTATGATCTTTATTTTAAAATCTTTTTGTTCCGACTTTCGTAACGAAAGTAACGGAGTATTTGTGCTCGGGTGGTGTTTTTTCTACAGACAAATTTCGACTTTTTAACTAGCCATTTTTTGTCAGATTTTTAAAATATCATTCAAAAGGTATTGCTATCCTGAGCTTGAATTTGAAAAGATATTTCACCTGTGATCCTTTTTTGTTAAGTTATGGGGGTTTAAAGATTGCCATTTTGGCCAATTTGGGACAATTAACGCGCGATATATTTCGCGCTATTAACGCGTGAGCGGAGATTTAATCCGTCATAGAATTCGTTCCAAATTGGTTAAAGCAGGCTATTTGTCATAATTTATTAGTTCTAGAAGCTAATTTTATCACTTTGTACTTGATCTGGCATGTGGGGCGTGATTTTTACAAAAAATCTCAAATTAAAAAAATTTCATTTTTTGATTATGTTCAAATTTTTCACGTCATTACTTCTCCATAGACCCTACAAGGCATTCGGATTATTCAGGGCTTCGCCTTGATACGAGCATTCCTGTTAAATTGAAAATCGACCCATTGAAAAAACCTGTTGTCTTGAGCTCAAAAAACAATTTGGGACTTTAACGGCTGATTTCGAACTGGGATAATTAACACGCAATATATTTCGTTTCCTTAAATTGAAGGCGGCAAATTAAGTCCTTCAAATGTTGAACTGAGGCAAGCTATTTGCTCCTAAAAAACCGTACCACACGCAAAATATACCCATTTGGTTTTCTTTGGTAATGTAAATAACAAAACTTAGATTAAAAACTGTAAAAACTACTCCAAATTTCTTTTTTTTGTACAATTTCTTGAACAGCTGTGATATCGATGTTTCAAATTTCTCTTCACTAAAAAAAATTGAGTGCATGATGATAGTCGAATTTTTCTGTGCTAATTGTGGGTCAGCCGCTTTTTTTAAATTATTTTAAATCAAATTTATATCAACCAGTTAGTTTCAATTAAAATTGAGATTTTCAATATTATTTAACTTTATTGGATCTCTGAAGCGATTGCGTCCCTCAATAGTGTTTCACTCGTACCTAAGTTTTAATAAGTTTCCAGGCCTGGTCACATGTCTAGCATTGCATGTCTACCACGTTGTCACTAATGAACACAGCTGTCACATAACTGCTCAGAGTTGCGATTATCGCAGTTTTTAGCAGTTCTAATTTCTGCATGACCAAAGGTGCATCACGCATGACCAGATGTTCATCAGGTAACCAGACCTGAGCAGAAAATGCACATCCGATTAAAACAAAATCTGATCATCCGTCAACAAGATCTGATCATGTCGGATGCAGACTAGATCAGAACTGCATGCAAGCGAAGTTATCAGATCTGATGCGATCTGTCGCAGCTGTGCCCATGCATAAAATAGATATGCCAAAAATGTGATGCAGATTTTTAGGTGTTCAGATATGGTTGAAGAGAAAAACTTCAGCACCAGCAGCAAAATTTTTCAGGTTCATGGTTTTTTCATCAAATTTTTAATTGAAGCCCTCTGATGAAACTATGCCGTAAAGTCTTAGAAAAATATGTCACACGCCCAGCGGGGAAACAATTTTGTCTTTGACTTTTTTCAGAAGTATGTAAAATGAATTTGAATTACATTTTAATATGAAGCTTACAGTAAATTGGAAACAAGCAAACAATTGCAAAAAGTCTATCCCAGTTTTGAAAATGTTGCTGATCTGATAAATTTATTTGTCAGGCATTTTTCGGGTCTGCATGACATCTGTGGCATATCAATTTTATGCATGTGCGCAGCTGCTACAGATCTGCATCAGATCTGATAAGTTATGCTTTTCATTAGAAGTTTACCGTAAACTCACCATGACGCAATGATTCATAAACTGAGGGCTATTAAATGAAACATGCGACAGGTATAAATTCTTCTTCCGAGAATTTTATCGAGCGACATGTGACCAGCAAGTAAGACGACAGCCATTAAGAAGACAATTTTTTATGGCATTTTAAAACAACGCTACGCGCAATTCTTTGCATTACATTTTTGAGAATTATGAACCACTTAAATTCGAATTGCTCTTTTTACATGTAATAACCCTTTTTTGTCGTCTTACTGGCTTGTCGTCTTAATGGCCTGTCGTCTTTTTTTTACCTAGCACCGGAGCGACAGTTAGCTGTAAATTGTTTGTTTCGCACAAAATAGGAGAAGCAGCAACATTGATTCATGCAGGGGCGGATTTAGGGGCGGGGGGCGGGGGGGGGGGGGCGGACGTTTCCTTTTCTCAGGGATTCGACCCCCTGCCGACCCAAAGGGTCCTCCCTTTGGTACTTTTTCAGAAATCCATTTTTGGCCGACACACCCTATAATTTTTCTAAAGGCAACTTCGGCGCCATTATATACTAACTTTGAGGGGGAGCGCGCGCCCAAAAAAACGCGATTTTTTTGTCAAAATTTTCCAAAAAGAGCCCAAAAATGGCTTTTTTACCTGTTTTTTCAAAAATTTGTCTGCGGCGCAGAAAATTTGGCCAAAACTGCTTTTTTATACTGCTTTAGGAGAGCTCGGAAAATCAATTTAATTGACCTAAAAAAAAGTCGTCAAAATTTTCGTTTTTTTTGAAAATCCGCCCCTCCCTCGAGAAAATCCTAGATCCGCCCCTGGATTCATGTGTATTATAACACTCTTGCTTGACGCATGCGCAACGGAACTAAAAAAGCATAACCATTTAAAAGTAGTGTTTCTCGTGTCAGACGAAAGTTTTGGATCTTCTGATTGCCAGAATACGTCTCTAGAATACGTTTTGTAAAAAGAAAAGTATTGAATATAGATTTAGAAATTGAAAAAAGACGAGTTCGATTATTTTCCGTCTCTTTCCACAGCCAATGTATGATTTCAACATAAATCTTCTAAGGAATTTAAGTGTCCGATTGACTCGCCTCATTTCGATGTGAATGGAAGACTGCTCGTATCAGGTCAACACCTTGAAAACCTTGAATGTTCTGACTGCATTTTAATTTCTATGTAGTAGTTTACTTTAAAGTAATTGATAAAAAAAATTTCAAAATTTTTATCCTAAATTTTATCACAAACTGGCCAAATTGGCTCTATTTAAACCCCTCTAGCTTCACAAAAATTGAATAAACACCACTTTCCTTATAATGAGTTTTTTCGAACAGAATTTTTGCTTTGCAAAGTTTCAAATTGAGTATACATTTGTGCATGTTTCACTTTGCGAATAAAAAATAAGGTACAAAATGAAATAAGACCGATAAAATCTCCGCTTACGAGTTAATAGCACAAAACATTTCACGCGTCAATTATCTCAAATTTTCCTTCTAACCCCAATAACTTCATAAAAAAATAATTACAGATGAAATATATATTTTTTAAGTTTGAAATTAAGACAAAAGTATTTTTTTGCTGTCATAAAAATGTTTGTCAAAATTGACTGCTTAAAAAGTCAAAATTTAGCTCGAGATGAAAACACCCCGAGCACAAAGATTCTGTTATTTTTTTTTTAAAACAGACGAACAAAAAGTTACACCACTTTTGCCTAATTGGCTTAAAACGGTTTAAAAATTGCCGGGTTAATGAAGGCTTGCTTAAAATTAAATGGGCTGCTCCTCTCTCACTCTCTCCCTTTTTTTCAAGATTGATACCCTGGTCACGAGAATAGTAAGGAATTTTTGTTTTTGTTCCAACAATTTTCGAAGAAAATGACGGATTATTTGTGCTCGGGGTGGTTTTTTCCAGACATATTTCGATTTTTTAAATTGCAATTTTTGACGGTTCTTTATTATTTCAATCGAAAAGTCTTGAGTTCAAATTTAAAAGAGTATTTCATCTGTGATCAATTTTCGTAAAATTATGTGGGTTTAAAGATTGCCAATCTGAGTCAATTAACGGGTGATATATTTCGTGATATTAACTCGTTAGTGGAAATTCAATCAGTCCTCGAAAAAATTCCAAATTGAATTGAGGCATGCTGATTGGTTTTTTAATTTTTAATACTTTGCTACATGCAAAATATATCATTTAGCATTTATATAACGTGTGGGGCACGTATAGCATGTCAAATTGGCTGTTTTCAAACTCTCAGAATGTTGTAAAAACAATCGGAGGTAAATTATCTTTTAATATTTGATTTCAGGGAGTCAATATCTTCAATGCCGTAAAAATAATTTTGTTAAAAACGATTACTTCGATTACCGAAAGTTGACTTAACAAAACGAAAACCACAGCAAGCTTAAATATTCCATTTTCTCCGAAAGTCGGAACAATTAAAGATCTGCTTACGCGTTATAAGCACAACATACTTTACCCGCTACTTATCCCAAATTGGTTAAAATGGCCAAAATTGTAACCCCCATATATTGACAAAAATTAATCGCAGGTGAAATGTTTGTTTAAAATTGAGCTCAAGACAACAATATTTTTCCGATGATATAAAAAAATTTGCCAAAAATTGCAAGTTGGAAAGTCGATATTTTTCTGGAGAAAAAAAATCACCCCTTGTACAAATACTCAATCATTTTCGCAGCGTTATTACTTGTTTTAGCTGGTCTGTTCTAAACTTTTTTGATTTAAGTTTTTTTTTCAGTTTTGACAATTTTTTCTGACTTTTTCTTCTCATCTTAAATTTATTTGGTCGGAAGGTTTTGTGACACTTGCTCTGTGACTGGTTTCACTAATTGGTTTGAACTAAGTTTCAATCTCTTTTCAGGGTAAGATTTCACTCTCGTTCATGTTCCTCTGGCTCTTTTCAAATTCATTGAAAAAAATACTAATGAAATAAATTAATAATGAATTGTTCAGCACAATGTAATCTCCATCGAAAATTTCCAACTCATCGGTTAGCCGTTTATTGTGTTTTCCATTCGCAGTAACATAACTTTTATCATAACTTTACAAATTATTACTATATGTATACTAATTTAATCAAGAAGTTATTTTTATTTTTTATAAAAGTGAAATAAAAACTTTATAGCCGTTAAGGTTTGATTGCATATTGCAATTTCTGTCTGTGCTTTTCAGCTTCGAATACATCATCAGAACCCATCAGTACGACACTTGCGCAAATTACAATAACTGTAGATGACAATAAGGCTGGAAATGACAGTAATAGTGATGGAACAACCAGTAACTCGATCGACGATTCTGTATCGGCAACTACAATAGCACCGGGCGATCAAACCAGTGCCGACAACATTGATGGTAGTACAGTTGGTTCGGAGGATGGCTCAGTACCGGGAGTTACAACATCTGCTGGCAATATTAACGACAATGGAAGCATCCCGAGCGACTCGGGCGATGGTACCTTTCCAGGAACTACAACAGCTGCTACTGACGGAGCTCCTGGCAATAACAGCGACAATGGAGGGAATTCAACTGACTCAGGCTCTGATTCATTTCCAGGAACTACAGCAGCTGCTAGTAGTGAAACCCCTGGCAATAACAGCGACAATGGAGGGAACTCAACTGACTCAGGTTCCGATTCATTTCCAGGAACTACAGCAGTTGCTAGTAGTGAAACCCCTGGCAATAACAGCGACAATGGAGGGAATTCAACTGACTCAGGTTCCGATTCATTTCCAGGAACTACAGCAGCTGCTAGTAGTGAAACCCCTGGCAATAACAGCGACAATGGAGGGAATTCAACTGACTCAGGTTCTGATTCATTTCCAGGAACTACAGCAGCTGCTAGTAGTGAAACTCTTGGCAATAACGGCGACAATGGATGGAATTCAACTGACTCAGGTTCCGATTCATTTCCAAGAACTACGGCAGCTGCTAGTAGTGAAAATCCTGGCAATAACAGCGACAATGGAGGGAATTCAACTGACTCAGGTTCCGATTCATTTCCAGGAACTACAGCAGCTGCTAGTAGTGAAACTCCTAGCAATAACATCGTCAATGGAGGGAATTCAACTGACTCAGGTTCCGATTCATTTCCAGGAACTACAACAGCTGCTACTGACGGAGCCCCTGGCAATAACAGCGACAATGGAGGGAATTCAAGTGACTCAGATTCCGATTCATTTCCAGGAACTACAGCAGTTGCTAGTAGTGAAACCCCTGGAAATAACAGCGAAAATGGAGGGAACTCAACTGACTCAGGTTCCGATTCACTTCCAGGAACTACAGTAGCTGCTAGTAGTGAAACTCCTGGCAATAACAGCGACAATGGAGGGAATTCAACTGACTCAGGTTCCGATTCATTTCCAGGAACTACAGCAGCTGCTAGTAGTGAAACTCCTAGCAATAACATCGACAATGGAGGGAATTCAACTGACTCAGGTTCCGATTCATTTCCAGGAACTACAGCAGCTACTAGTAGTGAAACTCCTATCAATAACATCGACAATGGAGGGAATTCAACTGACTCAGGTTCCGATTCATTTCCAAGAACTACAGCAGCTGCTAGTAGTGAAACTCCTGGCAATAACAGCGACAATGGAGGGAATTCAACTGACTCAGGTTCCGATTCATTTCCAAGAACTACAGCAGCTGCTAGTAGTGAAACGCCTGGCAATAACAGCGACAATGGAGGGAATTCAACTGACTCAGGTTCCGATTCCTTTCCAAGAACTACAGCAGCTGCTAGTAGTGAAACTCCTGGCAATAACATCGACAATGGAGGGAATTCAACTGACTCAGGTTCCGATTCATTTCCAAGAACTACAGCAGCTGCTAGTAGTGAAACCCCTGGCAATAACAGCGACAATGGAGGGAATTCAACTGATTCAGGATCCGATTCATTTCCAGGAACTACAGCAGCTGCTAGTAGTGAAACTCCTGGCAATAACAGCGACAATGGAGGGAATTCAACTGACTCAGGTTCCGATTCCTTTCCAAGAACTACAGCAGCTGCTAGTAGTGAAACTCCTGGCAATAACATCGACAATGGAGGGAATTCAACTGACTCAGGTTCCGATTCATTTCCAAGAACTACAGCAGCTGCTAGTAGTGAAACTCCTGGCAATAACAGCGACAATGGAGGGAATTCAACTGACTCAGGTTCCGATTCATTTCCGGGAACTACAGCAGCTGCTAGTAATGGAAACCCTGGTAATAACAGCGACAATGGAAGGACTTCAACTGACTCGGGTGCTGATTCATTTCCAGGAACTACAGCAGCTGCTAGTAAGGGTATCACTGGTAATAACAGCGACAATGGAGAAACTTCAACCGTCTCCAGCGCGGAATCTTTTCCAATAACTAGAGCAGTTTCCAGTGATGAAAACGGTGGCAATACCAACGCGATGGGAGCTACCCCAGCAGGCTCAAGTGAAAATTCAGTTCCAGTAACTACATCAGTTGCTGGCATTTTTAACACGGGCCATGACAATGATAACACCGGAACTCGAGCTGGCTCAGAAGATCATTCAGTAACAAGAGACACTACGACAGTTTTAGGAAACAGTGAAGTTACTGATGATAACGTAGGAGGGTCAAATTCAAATACTGATTCGTCAACTTTGGTGCCAAGTGCAGAAGTTCAGGCGGCTGGGCTTTCAGGGGTTCTTGAAGATCTTTCCGGCTGGGCGCTTCTAATAATTTGTACCTGCGTTGTCGTAGTTATCATACTGTTCATATCGTGCATTGCTTGGCTGAAATGTAGAAGATATCGAAAAACTGCATCTTTTTCTGATCAAAGACGACTAGCGGCCTTTGAACATTATCAATCGTCTGTGAACAACGTCTCATTGGACAAATTGGTTCCAGTTATTCCAGTCGATTTGATTTCAGATTTCGACCAGCCGGCTAACTCTTCAGGATACGTTTCAAATATGTCTGGACTTCCTTCGCCTATAAATGAAACAGACGCGCCTAAAATTGCGCAATTTTTATCAAGCGACTGGCTGACAAGCACTCCAATTGAGAAAAGCTCTCCTGTTATTAACTCATTTTATAGTCGTCCACCATTTGTTAACAAATGGGAAAAAGGATCGCGGCTTGACATCAGTGAATTAAGGAGTCGAATCATGGATGGAAGTTATATCGAAACTCCGAGATCCGGTGTGACATATCATGAGGAAGCTTTTTGAAAACACAAAATGTCAATTTGAAGTTTTAAATTGTTTTCCAGCCCTTCTTAATTTCAGCGAAATAGTTTTGCAAAGCTGTGTAGTTTTATATTGCACTGAATTTAGTTTTGATATCACTTGGTTTTAAGTGACCAGCAACTAAATTGGTTAATTGCATTTTGTTTCATTCGAAATAGCCCATCTACCCCCCCCCCCCCCCCACCACCACCGGGTCGAAGCCGTTGCTTACAATTTTCCAAGAAAAGGGCTAAATGATCTCAATTGTTAGTACGACTGGAACACTAGTTATCACAGAAAAAACTGATCCAATGGCGCCCAATTAGCAGCCCAATATTTAGAAAATTGGGCTCATTCATCCCCTTCCCTGACAAATCAAGGACCAAAATTTGGGCTAATTCAGTCCCTTTTAGAAAAACAATTTTCTTGAGTGACTCGAGCCGTCTCATTGATTTCCCAAGACATCTGTGCTACTTTTTTTTCAGCCAATCCTTAGAGCGATTGTTTGTTTTGTCTATTTGAACTAAAATTAGGAAACTGATTGAGCGCCCATAATATTAAAAATTGGGCTCCTATAGCTCAAATTGGGCTCAATCAGCTCTTTTTTTTTTCTGAAAACTGGGCTCCCTCAGCTTCCTTCATGGGAAAGCAAGACCACAATGGGACCAATTTTGACCACCACCACATGTGGTTTTAGTTGATAAAAAACTTTAGATACGAGTTTAAATGTTATCTTTTTGATATGTTGTAAGAATAAGGGAACAATCAATGGCAAACTTCTTGTTCAAAACACTGCGAAAAAAAAACACTCAAAACTGCTCACAATTAGATTTGATCGAATTTCGGTCGAACTGTTAAAAACAATTTTTAAAAACTTTTGAATGAAGTTCGCACTCACTAAACAAAAACATCATTGCCTAAATTGGGCATCAAACTCGTTAATAGAAACTTACTTTAACAGTAATAAATTTACTACAGTTTCATGCGATATTTTGTCTTAGCGAAGAAAAAAGAAACAATTTTTGTAGAGCAAAATAAGGGTTTCCATAATTTCATACGAGTCTTACAAAAACTGGAGAACAGTATTTTGTTTTCTACTATGTTTAAGTTTCATGCTTCAGAAGTTTCGAAAAAAAGCAATCAGTCCAAAACAGAAACAAATTTTGGCAGAAGCTTTCGGAGCTTCGATTTGTATAGCTAAAAGTAAACTCATCACTTCTCAGAAAGTAGCGAGCCTTTTCACCAAGCATTACTACAAACTATTACTACAATAACCCGAGTTAATGCTATTGTAGCAATTGCATAAAAAGCCGCAAAGTTTTGCAGTGCTATACTGTTTGCTACTTTTTTGGCTCAATTTGTTTAGGGATTTCGCAGTAAATTGCTCCGACTTTCGAAGAAAGTGACGGATTATTTTTGCTCGGTATGCTTATTTTTTTTCTCCAGACAATTAAAAAAAATAACTTTACCTGTGGTCTTTTTTTTTCAAATTACGAGTGCTTTAAGTTTATCAATTTGGGATAATAAACGCGCCATGATTTTAATGCTACTAACGCCTGAGCCAAGATTCATTCCGTTTTAGAAATAGTTCCATTTTGAATTAAGCAAGTTTTTTTGGTGTTCTGAATATTTTGCTACATGCGTAACATACCATGTTGAACTTCATATAGCTATATGATTTTTGGATACCGATTTTTCTGTCATTTTTCTGAATAATTTCCTTTGGTGATATTTTGAAAAGTATTCGAGTTTTTGAGATCTTTGTTTTGGTACGAGCAGCCTTGTTCATCCGTTTTTTGAAGCAAGTGCGGCGGATTTAGGATTTTCTCGAGGGGAGGGGGCGTATTTTCAAAATTTTCTCGGCTTTTTTTAGGTTGATGGAATTGAGTTTCCGAGCGGTCCCCCAGCTCTATAAGGACTCTATTTGGGCAGAATTTTTGGGGCGAAATTAAATTTTTGAATAAAAGAGGTAGAAAAAAGTAGTTTTTGAGCACTTTTTAAAACTTTCGACAAAAATTACGTTTTTTTGCGCGATCCCCTTAAAATAAAATAGTATATATATATATTGGCACCGAAAATGCCTTTAAAACAATTTTCGGGTCTGTCGGACAAAATAGGATTTCTTAAAAAGGAACAAAAGGGGGACCCTTTGAGTCGCTAGAAGGTCGAATCTATAAGTAGAAGGGGAGTTCGCCGCCCCTCTCCCTAAATCCGCCCCTGTTTCGAAGTAAGTGACGCAATAATTTTTCTCCAGCAGACAAGTGTCGACTGTTTAACTAGCAACTTTTGCTGTTTAATTTTTTTATCATTCGAAAGTTTTTATTGTATTGAGCTCAAATTCGAAAAAATATTTCACCTTTGAGTGTTTTTTGTAAAATTATGGGGTTTTAAAGATTGCCAATATGGCCAATTTTGATAATTAAGCTCGATTTTTTCCCGCGCTATTAACGCGTGCACTTTCTTTAATCTTTCTTAGGAACGTTCCATATTGATTGAAGTAGGTTATTTGTCATAATTGATACCTTACTTTGAGTGAAATCTATCACTTTGTACTTAATATGGCGTGTGGGGGGATGATTTAAAAAAGTCTATTAAAATTTATTTCTTTAAATATATTACTATTATATATTATTTCATATTATTCTAATTTTTTATTTGTACAAATTTATTTTTCAATTTTGATTGTTACTTCATCATTTTTCTTAAAAACAAACACTGCTTCATAGATTTTAAAAGATAATCGGAGCAGTCAGGGCTTTTTCCTGATACGAGTAGTATTGTATTAATTTAGAGTGATTCTGATAAGGCGATATCAAGCATGCTCTACGGAAACAGCTGACAATTTTTACAGCATTAGCAATTGAAATTGATGATTGTAAGCTCTGTAAACTAATAGAGATTACTTGATTGCAAATTAAAGAGGGAAAAGGTGAAAATTACTTACCCCATTATTCTGCCTCCATCATTAGAGAAAAAAAATTATTAACGCATAGTACAATTCAAGCGCAACTAAAATCTAAACAAACCACTCATGATTTGTGAGAAAAATAGGGAGTCCGGCAAATGAAGTTGTGGCTTTAATCATGACAATTCGAGACCATTAAAAAAGAACACAAAACTGTGGCAATTACTCTTGGCTGTTAGATCTTAAGTTTTGCTGAAATTTAAAAAAAAAATCAAAATGACATGCCCTGCTGTTTTATTAACCTTATTTAACCAGGTCCAAAAGTTGCTTCACAATTCTATAGTCACGACCGGATCCAAGAATTTTCGCGAGGAAGAGTGGGCGGGTTTTAAAAAAACAGGCCAAAAATAGCGTTTTTAGGCACTTTTGGGAAAAATTAGGGTCCGTCAGCCAAAATTGGATATCTCAAAATAGTAAAGGGGGACCCTTTGGGTCGGCAGGGTGTCAAATCCCAGAAAGAAAGTGTCTGCCCCCCCCCCCCTCCTGCGCGAAATATGCCATTTTAAAGACATACGCGCACAGCTCATTGATTGAATTTTATGAAAAGAGCTTTCGAAAATTTCAAGAACAGTTTTATGATCAGTTTTGCTTTTTCCAATAAACTCCCACATCTGACCCTGCATAGATAACTCGGCATCAGTTTTTTTTTTAATTTAGCTGATAATTTTCTATTAAATTTTCAACTTTGAATTGAAGACTGTTGTTGGATCAATTGATTGCACAAAATAATTTGGAATAATTTCTGAGCTAGATTAACCCGCCGAATAATTTACGAGCTTGAAGAAATTTGACATGTATTTATTATCCAATCCAATGTTGCCCAAAGCGACTTTCTTATGCCGCCATGATCATTAGATTTGAGCTCAAAGCAGCAATATTTTTAGATATCCCGGATTGACATGTTCAATTTCACACGTTTAAAAATTTGTCTGATAACTTTACGAGTGGCTATTTTCGCAGTCTGAGAATATTTGACTAGTTTTGTTAACGTTGTAATAAATTGATAAATTGTGTTACAAGCAATCTCTCTTTATTTGAAAGAAAATAATTAACTTGAGTTTTGCTTCAATTTTTTGTGTATAGCTGTAAACATAACAAGACTGCTCGTATCAGGGCGAAGCTCGCATCAGGGCGAAGCCCTGAATGTTCCGACTGCCTTTTAAGGTTTATGGAGCAGCAGTAATAAGGTTAAAAAAAATTTAATGAAATAAAATAAAAAGAAATTTTTTTTCTAAAATTTGCAATTTTTTATGAAAATCATCCCCCCACACGCCATATAAAGTACAAAAAGATAGATTTCGTTCCTTGTAACAATTCAATTATGGCAAATAAGCTTCGTTCAACCAATTTGGAACGATTTATAAGACGGACTAAATCTCCGCTTACGCGTTTATAGCGCGCATTATATCGCGCGTTAATTGTCCCAACTTGGTCAAAATGGCCAAAATGGCAATCTTTAAACCCTCATAACTTTACGAAAAATGATCACAGGTGAAATATCTTTTCAAATTTAAGCTCAGGATAACAATACCTTTTGAATGATTTAAAAGAATTCCGTCAAAAATGGCTAGTTAAAAAGTCGAAATTTGTCTGAAGAAAAAAAACCCACCCGAGCACAAATATTATGTTACTTTTGTATGGAACAATAACCAGAGGCTTTCTCATATGAGAAAATCAAGAGGTTGAGTTACATGAACCACATAAAAACAGCACTTGGATATTCGCCGTGCAATTTAATATTAAAATTTCTCACATAATTTTATAACAGATTGTAAATTTTTGTGGATGGCTAAAAAAATTAATTTCGAAAACTTGATGCGGCCTGTAGTTTGTTAATTTATGGCTTGTTTTTTTGACAATTTTTACAAAAATTTTTCATACTATAAAAACAACATTAAAGACTTCTGATTTTCACAAAACATGCACTCTAGATTGCGATTAAGCACCTAACATTGTTTTCCCACTTTTGATTTTGTTTCAAAAAAAATTTTGTCACACAAATTTTTTTATAGGAAATAGTATGACCAATGTTTTAAAGCAAAAAACTCCGAACTTGCTGTATCTCCAAAATTACTTGTAAAGCCATTACATTTAGAGTATAAAATTGTTGGTCAGTTTATACACATTTTGGATGTAAAGAAAAAACACAATTAATAAATAAAACCGCTAGGAATAAGTTTTTATTCTGACCATATAAAAAATTGGGAGGAAATTTGTTTTCGGGTGAGTTTTTTTTCTTTCTTTCTCTGTTTTTCACACAAACTCAGCTACGACAAACAAACATCGGAGAGATTTGAGTGATATCTAATTTTAATTTTTTTCTTGACTCAAACAAAACAAAAACAAAATTCGAAAAAACATCCCTGTGTCGAGAAAAACCGTTTGAAATGTTTGATTTTTTGTCTAATTAGGGTGAATGAGCAGGTTTAAAATATATGTTTTTTAATAGACCAAAAGCTTACAATTGCTAAAATTAAGCGTTAAAGTCCTACTAAAGTTAGTTTTTGCAAGTATTTTAGCGCCTTTTTGGAAACAAAAACCCAAAAATTCAAAATCCTGCAAGAAAAAAATTGAAAATTTTTGAATTTTTTATTGATTTTTTTGAGTAATTTTTCCACAAAATGTTTTCCGTTTTGCATATTTTACTGAGAATGTAGAATATGCCTATACTCTAGTTTTTGATTTCCGATCCTTTTATCACACCAAGCAGATAAAACTACTTTAATTCGATAAGAATTTTTCTGTTGTTTTAAACACTACTGTCTGAACATTCTGTGCAACTTGCACAGTAACCGGCTATCCTTGTTATTCTTATGAAATTGTATGATTTGCATTTTTTTGTGTAGAGTGCAATACCGGAGTGCAAAAACCCATCACAAACAAATAGTTGTAAAACAATTATTCCAGAAAATAAAGAACCATCCCGAAACAATTTTTTTACTCATTGAAAATTGAAATTTTTTTTACTCAATTCGGTTAAACAACTTGAGTTCATTACCATAGTCGGTATAATTTCTGATTCTTGTAAATTTGTAAAACAGGCTCTGAGAAAATCCGGTAAAACTAAGAAATTTCGACAAATTCACAAAAAACCCTGAAGCCAGCATCCTCGCAAAAAAAGATCCGCCTAAAAGTACAAGCAGGTTGTTTTCTGTTCTCGGGGCTCCTGACTGTTCTTCAACTAGCCGCGAAAAAAATCGAAAAATAAAGAATTCTTTAAAAAAAGTTTTTTGATTAATTTTGATCTTTGATTGTTTTTCCTCAAAAAAATAATTAGCAAGCTTTAAAAACTTGAGTCGTCTAATGAAATAAAACAATTAATTCGGTAGCCTGAAATCAATCTGGAACCTTTGGGTGCGGGATAAATTGCCGAGCTTTTCACAGTTTACGCTCACGCTTCATCATCAGAGATACACTTTTACCGATCACAATTTAACTACAAGGTCATGGCAGCTTGGCATTTTTTAAGCCACCATAGGTTTACTGAAAATCATCGTTTTTCTCTTTTGATTTTTATTGCGGAAATTTTGTTGAAAACTATAATGTCGATTGCTGAAATTATTCTGAACCAAAACACCACCTAAGTGTAAAATTACTCAGAAAAACGTCGGTAGAAAATTGTTTTTTTTTTTAAATCAGAAATATTATTTATAATTCGTCAGTAGCCAAGGAAACTTGGTTTATCTTTTCATATAAAAAATAACAATTAAATATTTTTTCAAAATCAAAAAGTTTTTGACTCGAAATCAAGAAAATTGACCAGCATGGCTGGAAGGGAATTGAATTTAAGTATTAAGCACCAGGGAAAACACATCTTCACAAAAGTAATATTTATCCACATTTATAGCTCCATATAATACTAAGAGAGCAACATCAATTATTATCATAATTTCCAAAGTTTACTTTAAATATATATCAAAAAGCACACATCAAATAACGAAAAAACACCAACAATACATTGTTTTGATCAAAAGTTTGCAATTTCAACTTTTTATTAAACAGCCGATACTTCAAAATTGTTTCTGATTCTAGATGGAGAGTTTTTACCCTTAGCGTTCAAACCCTGTGAATCGTTTTCAATTTCAACTTCCGCTTTATCGTCTTTGTTTTTTGCAGAAGGACTAACATCGATCGACACTCTTTTTCCTTTTTTCGTTTTCTCCCCCTCACTCTGTTGGTTATTCATTGTGTGTTCACGTGTTTCGGGTGGGGGGTTTTTGGCGGCAGTGGCTAAAGTTGCGTTCGACTGTCGTTTCTTGTATGACACCAGGGACCCGCCGGAGCTTTTCTTATTCAGTTGTATGGCTCCCGCTGACGCTTGTGTCTGGGTCGCATCTTCATTCTAAATCAATACTTCAAGCTGTTTTTTAGTCTCTTTTCATTAAAAAAAAAGATTAATAAACAAAATTTGGTAATTGTCAACTTGCCATTGATTATAATTTTCAACACATGCCAAAGTTTATCGTTTTTTTTGACAAAAAAAATTCATTGACCAAGACTCAAAACTACAAGCAAAATCGCAAACGTAATTACTTGCAAGCAATTAGAGAAAAACAGTTGCACATAACTTTATGGTAAATTAATTATGAAGACATAAAATCAAAGAATAATTTTGAATGAAACTCTCCTATCGTAATATCTTCAAATTTTGAACCTAATCTGCCTCCAACTTCTTATTACGATTTCCATTTCATGCCCAAATTTATGTTTAAACTGATTGTTAATGTTAAAAGATTATCTAATCATTGCATTGAAATTTAATTATTGCTTTTAGTTTAATTTTTGGAAATGGTTTGGAATTTTTTTTCAAAAAAAAAAATGAAATAGTCAAGAAAACTCAAGAAGAGTCACTAATTCAAGTTCATCATTGATATAATCTTCATTGCCACGAATTCAGGTCTTTTTGATTGGGTCTTTTGATTAGGATAAACTTAGATCCCAATAATTAGCAAAAAACTGTGAACGAGCAAAATTTTGTTCGCACAGTTTTATCACAATTGGTACAGAGCTGAGTCACTTATGAAAGACTCCAATGTTGCATTATTTCGAAACTTATAGTGTTTGAGAGTGATTTTACGATAAGTTAAGTTTTTAAAATATGGCAAGTCATACTTTTTCTCTTTTTTTTTCAAATTATTTCTGACTTATAAAAATAAGTCAAAAGTAATTGGAAACAAACAAGAAAAAATAAGGACCAACAACTGGCCATTTGATGTCTATGTGAACATGTATTTTAAAATTTGGTAGAGCCAATCATGCTTTCTTGATTTCCTTATAATTTTTATTCTAGAAAGTGGCTTTAAAAAATGTTTCATAATCGCAAAGCTGTGAATGTTTTTCCATCTCTTAATTAACTTGCCTCGAATAGCTCGGATGAAAAAACTAGAATAGCTCGGATGGATGTTTGCAAATCAAAGGGTTATTTGAAAACTTCTTGGCTTTCTATCATCATAGGTGCACCAGCATACTATAGCCTTTACAGTAGAAAAGGCTGTTAAAGGATGTAATTTAGCCTTTATTATGTTTTGGGGCGGAAATTTGGACTGCGGGGTGGATTTTTTTGTTATTGGAGAGGGTTTCTATGTAGGGTAAAAACCATTCTCTTCCTCAAACGTTTTTTGCTCAGAAAAATAATTATAGTGCATTCAAACACATTGAACACGTAAATTTCCCCTACTTTAATTTAACTCCACCTATTTTATTTTGAATAAAAACATCTCGAAAAATCTTAACTTTTAAGGTACCCCAATCTTAAAAACTAATTGAGTACCAAAACCAATCACCAAGCAAATTAAAAAGCCGTTTTGTACTTAGAATTAAACCATAGAAAAAAGTAAAATTGAAGAGACTTTCAATTAATAAGCTCATATGAACGTCGTTATCGTTGTTTCTTCTATGAATTTTAATTTTAACTTGTCTCCACCTGTTTGACATAAGTTTTTGCGTACTCTCAGTTCGAATTGTTCCAACCATTGAAACTGGAATCGAACTTCGTATTCAGGTGTGTTTCATTTTTTTTCAGGTATCACAAATAATCATTGCAATGGGTCAGTGATGTATCATTTTGAAGGCTTTTCAGCCGTGATTTAAACAACATAAACAAATTCTCAAAAATTTCTGAAGATTGAGAAAAACCCGATTAATGTTTTCGAGTGATGATGTACAGTGCTGATTTAAATCAACCGGACAAAACGCGTTAAACTTGAAATTTAAAACCCGTTTTTCTTAAATTGGGTTGAGTTTAGGTGAAAACTTATGAATTCAAAACTTGCTTAAAATTTTAGCAGAATTAATATGGTGTAATTTGTTTTGCGAAATTCGGGCCCAAAATTTTACCCCAAAAATGGATCATTTTGGCTTTTCTTAGTTGATCGAAAATTACGCCGAAAATGCCCAGTCGATCACAGACATAATTATATCAAAGGGAGCCTCTTACGTAGCCAAACAAACTTTATAAAGGGTATAATCTCCAAAATGTTGTATAAGTTAATTTATTTTTGTTTGATAGACAAAAAAGGTCGATTTTACTATTTAAAATACCAACTTTTTATTTAAAAACAATTTTTAAACAATTTCCAAATTTCTTTTGGAGAAAATACCTTCCATAAAGTTTTTTGGGCTACGTAAGAGGCTCCCTTTGATATAATTATGTCTGTGATCGACTGGGTATTTTCGGCGTAATTTTTGATCAACTAAGAAAAGCCAAAATGATCCATTTTTGGGGTAAAATTTTGGGCCCGAATTTCGCAAAACAAATTACACCATATTAATTCTGCTGAAATTTTAAGCAAGTTTTGAATTCATAAGTTTTCACCTAAACTCAACCCAATTTAAGAAAAACGGGTTTTAAATTTCAAGTTTAACGCGTTTTGTCCGGTTAATTTAAATCAGCACTGTATTTTTGAGCCAATAAAGTGAGCGAGCAGGCTTTTTTTGTTTTTTTTTGTCAAGGAAATCAATCACCCTCAAATAATCATCGAATTGACCTGAGTGTTATGTCATTTTAAAACCCTTTCAGCCCTGCTATGAAAGATTTTGAATAAAATTTCGAAAAAATTTCCGTGTCGAAAAAAACTGATTTTTGAGTTTTAGTTCAATTTTCAGCGAGTAAAGCGTGCGAGCAGGCTTATTTGTGTCCGAGAATCCGCGAAGCTCTCAAAAAATTTTTCGCGGAATAAAAAACTACTTTAGAAAAAAATAAAAAACTGTTTTCAAAGTATAAACTCTTTATTGAAGTAACAAGTTTATGTGCAAGGATCATCAAGTTTAGGAAGCAGCAACATTTACAAAACCTCAAAAAAGGGTTAATTTCGGAAAAAATAATTGAAAGATGCTTTTTGACCTATAATACCTTAATTTTGTAGGTTGAACAGTTTTTATAAAATTACAATTTCTAGACATTTGATCATGTTTTTGCGATTTTTTGTTTCACTTTTTCTGTTTGATAGTGGAGTTTTTCTTTTTGTTTAACAGAAGCTGAACTAAAGTTTTGAAAAAAAAACAAACAGCGAAGAATCAAATTTAAGCGTGAATGAGTTTCAAGACTCTCTATATAAGTTTTCACCACCACCACGCTCATTACTAAGAATAATGATGATAGTTTAGGTAAGGATAAAAATCATGAGCTTAAACTCTTTGCATATCAAATTCCATGTTATGAGAAATTGAAACTCTTTACCAGCAAATTGGTATCAAAGTGCAAAAATGCTGTAAGCGTGCTGCCACTTTTCACACTAATTTCATCTTGTATCAAGGCGTTTTTTTACTAACAGTAGTAAATCAAAAAAATCGGATACTAACACTATTTGGTAAAAAAGCAAAATTGGACAAAAAACTGTGCATTAGTACTTTCAGAGGCGGATTTTTTGTTAAAATTTTTCATAAACTGCCCGAAAATGGCTTTTTTCTACTTGATTTTAAAAAAATTTGTCTGCGAGGCAAAATTTTTGAAAAAAATAGGGTCATTATAGTGTTCTGGGAGTGCTCGGAAAATCAAATTGGTCGATAAAATTTTTCCGCCCCTGCTTCACTCAAAAGAATTTTAGCCAAAAATTAGAGTGAATTGTTGTTCCTCGAATTGCTTTGTTTCCATTTACCTTAACCTTTTTTTAAGTGAATGGTTGAAAAAGCCAATAACAGGTAATGAAGTTTAGTTAAAAACCTTTTTGACGGTCATCGCGAAAACATCATGTGAAATTTAAAATGATATTGTGAATTGGAAAGATAACAATGAACTTATTCGGAGCATATATTAAATTTCTGTCCTAATTTTGTTGTATTATTTTATTGTTCAGAAAAACTGTTGCTACTCATTTTTGACAACATTATTATTTCACTGAATAATGATTTTCATAGTAACTCAATTATATGACAGCTGATGTGGTTTGTTTAGAAAAATGGGTACACAAAAAGACTTTTAATGGCTACTCGGGGAAAATTCGATCAATTTAATTGTTTCTTTTTATTGTTAATTGAAAGCTTAAAAAACTCGTACCTTCTTTTTCAAAAATTAAAAGTTCTATTGTAAAATTGTTGTTTGATAAAAGCATCTTCTTGAAGAGTGAAATTTTGCAAAACAAAGAATAACGCAAATGCAAGTCTCGTATATGATCAGTTGTCAATCAGTTTCGTCAAGGGCTAATCTAAGATTTTCCCGAGAGATGAAACGGAGGGCCGTAGAGAGGAGCGCCGGGAAGGGGGGCAGGGGGGTTGGGGTTGGTTGTCCAAATGGAATTCCGGATTATGCATCGCTTGAGAAAATCTAAATTGCTGTTTCTAAAATATCACTAAGTGGAACATCTTAAAGTGATACTTATTAAAAATATCTTTTCTCTATCATTGAACTAAAAGTTTGAATTAAAGTTGGTCAATTAGAAAACAATTAAACACAGCAAACAGACATAGAGGCAACGAGCGCTCAACAAGAGTCAATGAACGCAAGGAAATAGAAAAAAATACAGACTTGTTTTCGAAATTTCGAAGAAAAAAATAGATGACTTTTAAGCTCTTATTTCGCTGAAAAATCTGAAATTGAAATGCGAAAAGTCAAAACCGAGCTTGAACGAATTCTAAGATTTTTCTGAAAAAAAAAACAAAAAAATCATCTTACAATAGTTTTCACTACGTTCATTGACTCTGAAAAATGCACATTCGAATCGCATATGATAAAAAATTATCTGAAGAACCAAAAGAATCAAAACAGTCCGAAATGGTATAAGAGAAACAAGTATACAAGAAAATTACCACAGAAAACAAGGACCGAATGCCGGCGGAGCTTTTCTAGCCAACCCGATCAAATTTTAGAAGTTAAAGATTTTTTAAAATCATAAAATTGAGATTCAGTCAATTTTGGTCAATTTAATAGAGATAATTTGTTTGAAAATTTAGGCGCCCTCGGTCCTTGTGCAATAGCGCCCGATTAGTTTACCTTAAGCTAGTGACAGGCTACAAAAATAACAAAAAATAAAACTCATTTACTTGCATTAATCTTTGACAACCTTCATTGTTCGGGGGTAACTATGTGTACTAATACAACCAGGAGGACTTTATAACCAGATACAACCAAACTAATTTTTCGAGCTCCAGAGGCTCGAATCCCTATGAACAACCTCATTGTAGGGGGCTTGGGGGTTAGTTATTTATGGATTTAAACTAAACTTTTTAATTTAAACTGTTAAGTATTACTTACCAACTTAGTGTGAATTTTGGGGGAAATAAAAGAAACTGACTATGTTTAGACTGGCTTAGAATAGCTTTTCATAGACCCTCTGCAAATGATATCCAAAAAAACTGCGTAAGTATCTTCGTTATTCAGGGGGACAACAGAGGTTTTCTCGATGAGCTGAGCAGCTCGTATGTAGTTCCTTTCCCCTGTGGATAAAAACATCTTAATCTTAGATCGCAGAAAGCACAATTGGAAAAAAAGAGAGAAAAAAAGTGAAAAAAAGGAGTGAAAAAAAAGTGAAAAAAATATCGATTTGGCACCTGGGCGGGGTTGTTATTTTGCATGGTGATGAACTTGAAGGGGAGTGTCTGGAGGAGCGACAGTCTGAATCTGTCTGAGGAGAAGCAGTAGACGAGGGGGTTGCAGCAGGAGTTGAAGTACAGCATCACGTGGGCCATACTCCCGAACATGTACACACCCGCGTGACATAATTTCCAGTGCTTCGTGTCTTGCAGGTAGAAACTTATCTGCAAAACAACACACAATAATTAACCAATCTTGCTAATTAATAATTAACCCATCTTGGCAATTCATAGGCAACTAACTCATCTTGGTAATTATTAAATAACGCGAAATAAGTCCATCATGTGAATTGATAACTAACTCATTTTGGTAAAGTTAAGCTTATTAATTTTTGCTTAGTAGAACTTTTGGCGTTCTTCCATGATGGTTTTTTGAATGTAATTGTTTTTGTAAATTAAGGGCGAATTTTTCCCCTTATAAAATTGAATTTTTAAATTGTAACAAATAAATTTTGCCTGTAATTGTCATTTGATTGTTTTAGTCTCAATACAATTAACGTAAAGCTAATTTTGAAGCCCATGTGTGATTCTGGAACCTCTATATGGGTTTTTTGTTTTTATCAAAAAAACTTTTTGTTTTACAAACCTGAGTTTGTTTAAGTATATAATACTCTAATCCTCTTTTCAATGATGAGCTCCGTTTAGCTATTTGGATAAGTTTCTGAGAGTAATACCAATTATACCAGACAATACCAGATATTGTGTCTGCCTTAGAAAACGGTCATTTTTGAAATGAATTCTATGCTTAAAAAATGTTTATATTAAAAGTTACTAAACAAAGTTGTTTTTGTCGAAAAGGTTTGACTGACAGGAGTTTTCGTGACTTTGAGTTTTTTGCTCTTACTATATATAGTGAACTTGTAGTGTAGTGAGGATTTTGTGAGTTTTTAAGAAAACGTTTGGAGACCAAATTGTCTAGAGAACTCTCCAAAGTTATTTCTAATCAAAGGTGGCTGGCCGCTGCCCACAATGAGCGCCCATGGATTTTAATCGATTATAACGAATTTCCGAGACAAAAATAATCCATTATAATCTACTACAGATGTAAAACTCAGACCACGAAATCAATTATAACGTCATTGAAACCAATAGTTAAGCTGAAAACTTGTTTTTTTTTCAAAAATAATTGATTATGATCCATTAGTTTTGGCACTGATATTAAATTTTTTTTTCAAGATAATCAATTGAAATAGATTTTTTTAAATTTAAAACCAAAATAAATGATTATAATCTAATATATTCTGTCTATAGAATATTTAGAACTAATATTTAGAATAAATATTTAGAACTAAATTCGATCCTTTTGCTGAAATTTTGCGTATAGTGTGCAAAAACTTGTATGCCATGCCTTTCACAGTTATAACAAAAAAGCAAAAAGATTTAAAAAAAACGAATATAATCATCAGACCATATACCCATGTTTCCCCCTTCCCCCACCAATTTTCCACCCCAACCCCGCAGTATAAGAGGTGGCGTTCAACCAATTACCCATTAGTTCAACTTTTAAATAAAATAGAAAAATATATAAATTAATATAAACTACAAAATAAAAAATGTAAGAAAAAAAGAAAAATATACAAAATGAAATCTTTATAAACTATAATAGATACTATGAAACGTAATACGCAGCAACTGCAATAGGCTATTTTTCCTTTTCCCCCCACCGGCAAATTTTTATTTTTGAAGTTACCCACACTGACAGAAATGGTTTCCGGTCGATTTAAATTGATTTTAAATCGATTTTAAAACGATCCAAATCGATTAACCATGTACATTTTACGAACTTAAATGGATTTTAAATCGATTTAAATCGATCTTCTTGAAAATTTTAAATCGATTTAAGTGTCTAAAAGATCGATTCAAATCGATTTTGATGGATTTTCCGACTCACTAAAATCCATCCGAATCTCACTTAAATCCATCAGAATCTCACTTAAATCCATTTTAAATCAATTTAAATCGATCTTTATGAAAATTTTAAATCGATTTAAGTGTCTGAAAAATCGACCTAAATCCATTTCGATGATTTTCCGACACACTAAAATAGATTTTTTTTGCTAACAAGTCGAAAAAAACATAGACTATGAAAAAATGTTGGAATTTTTTATTCTCGATTTTTAAATGTAAACACTCGTGCCAGAAGTTATAGAATTCAATAAAATTATCCACATGAATCAGTTTCAAGCACGAAAAAAGGCAATGAAATTATAGAAAATTTTGTAAAACTGATTTTGCAAAATCCTATGTAACAAACAAGAAAAAGGTCAGAATAAATTAAAATTTGATCTCGTTAATATGCAATTATATCATAGAAAGATATGATAATGAATCAGATTTTGGGCAAAACTTATAAAACGAATCAAGAATAGGGTCAATATAAATCAGTTTTTGAACTCAAAATATGCAAGAAAATCAAAGAATTTTATTGATATTTGGGTCTTTTTATTTGGTCTTTTTATGCTACAATACGCTATGGATGTAAAATGAAAAATTTCTCAAACAAAAAAAATCGATTTAAATCGATTTAAATCCGTTTTAATCCCCTTAAAATTAAAAACAAAATCAGACTGGAAAAACGCATTTAAATTGATTTAAAATCGATTTGGATCACATTTTTTAGCTGGGTTTTAAGATCAATTTAAATCGATTTTAAATCGATCCAAATCAATCTTCATCTTTTTTGTTTTATCTTCGTACTTTTTCCATACTAAAATTGATCTAAAATTAATCAACGTACTGTTTTCATACTAAAATTGATCTAAATTTAATCAACGTACTTTTTTCATACTAAAATCGATCCTAATCCATTTTTGTCAGTGCGGGTACTGTTCGCTTCTTCCGATTTTCATGAAAACTGACATGAAGACTAATTAGGCCATGACAAACATATTTGTTCTTCATAATTAACCTTGTAAAACCACTCGTTAGAGCATAAAATTCATGTTTGAGTGAGGTGGGGGGAAAAAGGAAAAAGAGCCCTGCAATAAACAGGAAATGAGATAAATATTTTGTAAAATTGTAAATTTAATCACTAAACAATTATGATCCATGGTCGTTCGGTGCCGCGGCTCTTTTTCCTTCCCCCCACCTCACACGAACTTCAATATATTTTTGTAACGAGAGGTTTTACGAGGTGCAAAAATCACAGAATGTTATCCTTCAGGACAATTATTCAATTAGGAGACTTAGAAAAGAAGATAAATTTAAAAATAGTTCAAAGAATTTTTAAGTTAAGTTCTCATGTTTTTTTTTAAATTTCTTGTTGCAGATTTAATTTAAGCGATATCAAAACATTTACGAGATTAAAACGTGAGTTATCCAGCTTACGAAAACCCGGGTCGAGATCCCGCTCAAAAACCGCTCAAGATATGAGCGGTTTGAGCGGTTTTTCAGCAAGATTTGAGCGGTTTGAGCGGTTTGGGCGGTTTGGACGGTTTTTTTGGAAAAACCGCTCAAACCGCTCAAATATTGCTTGAAAAACCGCTCAAAAACCGCTCATTTCTTGCGGTGATTTTTGAACGGTTTTTCAAGCAAGATTTGAGCGGTTTTTAAGCGGTTTTTGAGCGGTCTTATAAAGAAAACCGATTAAAACCAACAAAAAGGCCTCGAAAGGTAATGTTACCCCGGGTTAACCTCCATAAACCGAAATTGCTTATCTTACATTTCCCCACCCCGAAAATGCTTATCATTTAATTGCCTGCATCAAATTCATGGAAAAATGCTATTCATACCATTTTCATACAATTTCAAATCTTGCGAGGTTTTTGAGCGGTTTTTTTTAGATAAAACCGTTCAAAAACCGCTCAAACCGCTCATTTTGAAGCAAGATTTTGAGCGTAATTTTCTAAAAAAACCGCTCAAACCGCTCAAATCTTGCTTCAAATTAGGTGAAAAATCTCGACTCGGGAAACCAATTATAGAAGACATGTCAGTTAAATGAAGAAAAGCAGGGTCAAAAACAGTTAATTTCGGTTTCATGACTCTTGTTTCTTCAATTTTAACGACTGTCTACGAATCTTTGATGAATCGAATCCATTTCACAACAACACTTTCTTTATCATGGTACGTGATGGAAAATTCCGAAGAATTTGAAATATTTCTGATGACTTTTTGTCAAAAAAGATCAAGTGTTCAAAATTTTTCAAAGTTAAGAATTTGTTTTTTTTCAGATTTTTCCCACACGCTTTTTCAAGTGCAAATTGATGGTGGTTGCGTTTTTTTGGTAGTTTTTGGATCTTTTAGGTTATCAAAGTTCAATTTGACATAAACTGGGGTTGGATTCATGGGCACTTCAGTTACGCGTTAGGAAGCGCGATAATTCGCAACAAAGGGCAACTCGAAAACTTTAAGGAGAGCGAAAACTCTAAAAATTTGTAATTCTGTTCAAAACGTGGCACTGTCAAATAGGAATGGTTTGCATGCGACCTTCCATTGAGTCCTGAAGGGTATTTTTTTGCGTGAATCAGTGCTTGCAGCTTATCTAGATTGTTGCTTAAATTTAAATTTTGTTGAATAATTGAAATTTTATTGCAAGTTCTGGCTTCAGATGTTGTTTGCCGCGAATTGTTGTTATTTCGTTCGAAAAAAGTGAGAACTTAAATTTTTTTTACAAGTTTATTCCCAAAATGGCTGAATTGGTAATTTTTAGACCATTATAGCGTCATCAAAAGTTTGCAATGTTTGGATCTTTTTTTTTAAAAAAAAAAAAACAGGTTCATAATAACTGAAAGTTCCAACCAGCAATTAACGAATAAAAGTGGCAACCAAAAATTTAATTTTCAGCTGGAAGGTTGAACATTTTCTGCTGACGAGGTATTGATATTGCATCGACCGGGTGTTCTAAGATTGTTTCGCTAAAAATTGCTCTTATTTTCACAAAGCGATTGTCGATAGGCATTACGCGTGTGTTGTTAGCTTGCAAAAATTGTTCAAGATATGCGTTCAGTCTATAAAAAATCTATTAGCCTACTGTGCAATTAGTAGTAAAAGCCATTGATACCACGATAAGGAATTTTTTAAATCGAGTACTTTTGACATTCTATTTGAATTTTTACTACTTTTTTCGCTTTTAAATGAGTCTCGGCCATTTACGGATTTTTTTTCTTTTTGTGAAACACATATTAGCCCAGCCCACTGTTCTGTTGGTTGCAAAATCACTTGGTACC